TTCTTCACACAGGGTGGCAAACTATATAAGGACCCATGAGGTAATTATTGGGTTACTAAGATGTTCCTTTATGAAGACAAAGAAGCACTTCACCCAAACTCCACGGTAACGACAAGGTGAAGCCAACCGTCATCGCTATTGAGCTTGAGACTGCCTACAGTAACCGCACCAGCCTGAAGTAGCTGTGTATTATTCACACTCGAGTCACTTGCGCTCAGAGTGCCGCAATAATGGTGGAGGAAACCGCTATGGTCCACGATCTGTATTTCAAGACTCGACCCTGACGTCTGACAGTCAGCTATATCGTCAAGCCGTAAGACCCCAGGCACGTCGGTTTGACTGAATCTTAAGGTACAGAGGCTAAGGGCCAGTGTCTGTTGTGGCCCATTGCTCTGTCATTTCGTGAGAAAAAGTTCTAGAAGTACCACTCATGAGCGAGTCTTTTTTATCCCACCCTCTATTCGACCGTGACAGGGATTTATCACTGAAAAATCATCAAATCAAAACTTAAGTTAAACCAACGCGAACAGACTGTTACAAAATGGAAAGCGGTAAAAAAACCAAAAAGGAAAGTTGGTAAAAGTTCAATGAACACTTACCGAAATAGAATGGCTTTTTGTTCCATATGTCGTAAAGACGTGCAGTAACTAACATTAGGCCAAACATCGCAGCAGCTCCCTGGAAAGCTGATCGCATACAACCCATTCCAAGAAAAGTGCTTCTAGTAGTGCAGAAAAGCATAACGAGGCATTACTCAGAACCTTGCAAGATATTAATGCAAAAAAAGAGCGCGCTTGCGCACTCCTTCCATGCATCTTGCGGAATTCTGAGTGACGCACTTTGAGAAGATTCTTTGGAATTGCGCAATTTCCCTAAAAATTTATAGTTTCACGCCACATCACTTAATCTTCAATTTCGACGATGCATGGGATCGATGATTAGAAAATCACAACGAGAAACCTAATCCCTAAGAAAAACTGTAAACACGCAGAGATTCTACTACACCTTCTCTTCCGAGCAGGGCACGCCCTGCCGGTGGGGAAATTTTTCGAAAATTCGAACTCTTTCCTTACCCATCCTCCAACTTTTCCCAGCCTTATACAGCCCACATTTGCCAAGATTTCCGAAGAAAAACTCCAATTTTCGCCCAAAGTTCCGCCGTATAGGTGTGGGAGCAACATGTGAGACCAGTGAGTGGATTTTCGCGGGAAACCGTGAAAATTCAGCAACCGGAAACTTTTTTCGCAGCGCGGAAAGGTTCTCTAAAGGGCTCCACTACGACTCGCTTTCTCTCCACCAGATTTCAGAGTGTATGTGATAAAGTTCTCCCCTTTGCTCATTCTCGACAGTGAATTCAGGGCATATACTACTGTTAGGGGAAAGTTCTACGAATACGACTTCCCACCTCCGATGTTCTCCCTCCGTTACGACCTCCTCTGATCTTCCACTAATCTCCGGTCTTTTTACTACTTTCTTGAAGTTTTTTTTTCCAAAAATCTTCACTGTTTCTCCAGAAAAAAGTCGCTATCCGATGGGGAAGGATACAGCGCACTTTGAAACATGGAAACTGAAGGAGATTTTGGCAATCTTTTTGTTCAGGAGCGTTGCAACGAACAGTGAACATCTTTTTTTCGAGGGCAATTAAGACCCACCCAATCTTTGACTCAAGTTGCACTCATTCACGAAATCTTTTCGAAATGTTTTGAGTGAATATTCATGGATTTATACATTTCATGAGTCAACTCGCTTTGAGTGTAACGTGTTTTCTCTAATTCCTTTGCTGCCGGTTGTTTTTTGTACACGCACTACTATTTGACGAAAATAAGATAGTATGAAATAAAAAGTAAAAGAAACATTTCACATCGCTCAAGGCGCAACAATACCCTGAGGCAGGTCGGGACCAAGTGTACGGATCCATGAGATCAACTTCTCGTAGCCCTGCACGGAGATACTTCTCCCGTCTCTCATATTCTTCTGGGCTCACCCAAGTAGATGAGGCCATCTGATGCAAGAGGTATACAATCAGAGGGGCTTTTGTAAAAAATCACTGAACGCAAAATGTTACAGTAGTCTCAGCACATCTGAGCTCATCAGTACCAGCATACTGTGTCGGCCCCCCCGTAACAGGACTTACACGACTCTGATAATCAACGGTGTACGAGACAATAAAGATAAACGCGAGGTATTCAGCGCACATGCATCCACATCTTCTCAGTTACACCATCTTTGACTGACTCATCACAGCTCTGTTCACTCCGTGGATAAAAGTGATTGCCAGCCGCCTGTATTTAGCAGCGGCGCTGATCGCTTTGCAATGTTATTGAATGGGCGTAGGCGATCGATGATTCGTGGAAAAGTGACTGGCAGAGGCAATATTGCTGCATCTTGCCCTTGTACTCTTCACCAACTGACAAACGGTAGGCGCGACATACCGTCCCATCGACACGTCCCTTCATCCGCGGAACGGACGACTGTATCTGTACTCGCACTTCCTATAGATGATGCTCTTGGGGGTAAACGCATGACCTAGGCATAAGCTTTTCGCCAAAAAATCTCAAAATCAGCACCAACGATCCAGGGTAGCAAGCGAGTTTCTTGTCCAGAGCTGTCAACCAGATGTGGTATGCATCAGCCTAGTCCAGGGGACATTCCACCCCCACCATCCTCTAGAGTACGAACCAGGTCAGGCCAAGACGGCAACTTATTTCATTCACTTCCTCCTTTCCTGTTTTCTCAAGAAAAAAATCGTCGAAAGGAGAAGGGTGGCGGGCTGTACACCCTATCCACGAAAGTAGGTACTCCTCTTCTCTAGGGCATTCTTCCCGTAACATCTTCCAAAACAGTCGCTCTCGATAGTAAAATACATCCCCTTCCTACCTAAAGACCCAAATACGATCTCGTCGGTGGCGGTCCTTCATGGGTAATGAGCCCTGACCCTATGTGCGTTAACAAAACGTATGACTCTATCTGAAGGACCTCAAAGGAACATCTTAAAAAAGGTGTCTTCTGTACAACTGCGACATTTCCATGGGTATTTCAAATGAGGGAAAATATGAATTTATTGACATTCATGAAAAACAGGAATCCATGGCACGCTAACCTTTTCCGATGAACAGAAAAAAAAGACACAGTACATAGACTTTCGTCGATCACGAAACCATCTAACACTATAATAAAGGATTTCTGTGGTTTCACCCTAGCGATCGAATTTGGCTGGGAAGCGGCCCTCCTCGACAAGTTCATCCCATTTCTCAACCCAGTAGTTTGGGCAGAAGTCCTGAAAAAAAACGTCATTCATAATGCTTAATTTGTGGTATCAAAATTGAAGCAAATACGATGCACTGAAATTTCAAGCTGCTGGTCGCTGATAGAATGTCCACATTATCCTGGTCGACGGTGCAGGCGGACGCTCGAAACGCTGGTGGGTGAACGCTGCCGCAGAATGTGAACTCAGCCTTAGGCTGGCCAGTAGATACACTAAGGACAGCATTCAGACCTCGCGGAAGCGGGCAGCGCTCTGCGTCGCGCGTTCGACGTCACCCGACATCGAAAATTCATGGCGCAATCGATCGCGCCGAATCAGGCCGAAGCGGCTGGCCGTCACGCGAAGTCTGAACACTGCCTAAGCGCAACCCCACCGCTCGCTTTTTCTGGCATTTTTTCGCTGGGGAAGCGACTTTCGAAGAGGATTAGAGCAATCGCGCGATTCTAGCTGGAGGTTGGGATCAACATACAACTCGCAAGGGCGTAGCCGCGCAATTCTACTGCGAGGTTAGGTCAACATCAACTCGCAAGCGGTAGTTCCATAAGGTGGGGGGTGGGGGGTAACATATTTGATGAAGTTACTCTGTTCAGCACCGTCCTAATCGCTTGAGTTTCTAAAGCGCTACGTTTCAACAGACTGGGGGCCAAATAAACTTCTAAATGCTCAATTCATAAGTGAAACATTCTCAAAGCAATGCTCTGAAAAGGTCCTACGACACCTTTAAAATGAAAAAGTCACGATTTATAAACCTTAACAGGTATATCAAAATGATCCCTAGCATAGCCCTAATCATCAAAGCGAGTGGCAAAATTACATTAGGGGCCGGATAAGCTGATCAGCAGACGCACCCATTCTGGTGAATTCACTAGAGACTAACCAAAGAAGCGCTTTTTCAACTTGCGTACTGATGATGATAGCAATACGAAGAAGATGGTAATACAAGCTAACTTGAGTTCTCGCGAAACAATACTGAAAAAGGGGGCTGCGCAAAACGTGCATCAATTCGTGCTTTACAATTTGAGGATACCGCACAAAGAAGCCTTCCTCCAGAATTACGGCCTCTAACTCACTCAAACATAACTCCGTCACTCTTCCCAAAGATCCGCAAATACAGGAACGAAAAAAGAACAAGTAGCCTTCGAAATTAATTGCATCTTCTTAAATACCGACGCAGTTCGGCGATGGAGGGGGCGTTTTGCACTTTTAGTACTTCAATAGTCGCGATTTACCCCATTCAGTACTGCACCAGTCACGACTTGCGCGTCTCATTCTGGTGAAATCCGTGAATTCTTGAGAATCTGGAGTAAGCTTGTCGAGACACTGACTCGACACGTCGATGGAACGTAGCTATAGTGAAAATGCCCCCGCCGTCGCCGAGTTTCCCCCAAATCCCTAAAAAGGTTAGCATTCGCAACTTCTGCAGAAGTAAGTCATTTTTGGCGGCTTCGTTTCAGCTTTGACTCTCCACTCCACTCTCTCACCTTTACCCTCACCTTCTCCCGTTTCTACTTATTGGAGAAGTGTTCTGTTTTCGTTGTATTTTACTGATGAATACTGGTCGTCACCATTACCTAGCTCTGAAGACAGTTCCCGCGATTAAAAGCTCAGCGAAATGCCTCCGTGTATTTGGCACCGTTGTCCGCACTCGCGGAGAATATACCACTTTCGTCACTCGAAATGGCGAGTAATAACGAAGCTAGACGGGAACGAGACGGGTGAGTTTCTCAACCGGTGCAACCGTGTTCTGTAACTCTGCAAAACAACGGCTTCACGGAATTGCGTGTGTATATAGCGTTGCTTGGAGCGATCGTTACCTGGAGCGTCGCATATCGCTTTTCTATGCCCTTGCCGGGAAGTGGTTGCACCTAGAATTCTGCTAATTAGGTCTGTCCTTATGCTGAACACTCCAAGAAGTCGGCCCCACTGCCAGGGATTGTTTGCGTTCAGGGCGTTACCAAACTGTTAAACTTTTTTCCGCTTCTTTCTCTACTGATGATTTTTTTGCTGGGCCACTGATTCATGACTGAGCGCCTGCTACCTGTCACACTTCATCGCGGGAATTGCCTTTAAAGTCGATTCCAAAGGCTCCCACACATGCATGATCGCACTTTTTGCTTGAGTTCTTGAAGGGAAAAATATCAAAGGTCATGGCATCCGCGCACACGGTGAATCACTGCGCAATTTTCAGAACTCCTGTCTTCCAAAAAAATGAGATTCCTTCGGTCCCCCTCGAGATGACCCAGGCCCATGCTTTTGATCTGGAATTAAAAGCTTTGGGATAAAGAAGGCATTCGCGGATCTCCCTGTACAGAAACTAAATTCCCCACATTGGCTATCAGAAATTTTACCCGAACTAAGACAGAGCGAAGCTGCGTGGTTAGTGAGTCAATTTGAAGGACGCTATTCCTATTTGGATGATGCTAGCCCCATTTTTTGCACAAAAACTACTTTGAACGCCCCACCTTTGGGGTTATTAACCACAAAAATCTGTTTAAAAATTCAAATCTACGTCAGAACCCACAGTAAATAAAATGAATAAAAAGTGAAGAGAATTAAGCTTAAAAACAACGTTATGCTGAGTATAATAATTCCTAACAGCCTTCAAATTCAACTAACCTTGTACACATTCTGGAAGAATTTGCATGGTTTGTAGTCCTTACCCATCAATTCATTACAGCGGTGGAAATCAACGTAATATGCAAAGCATTGACGCTGCTTGCGAACCTAAATGTACAGGCTTAATGTGTTGAATACGTGGAGTTTAAAAACGCAAAATTGGAAAACTTCCTTTAGGCGAAAAAAAAACAAAATGATATTTTGTGAACAAGTACAGACTTAAAGGACATGCTTGTTGCGTATAAGAAGCACATTAAAAATGTAAGTTACCAACTATACATCTGTAGTGATAGGCCTATAAATGAGTGCTCGCGAATCGCCTTCAAAATATTTGAAAGCGCCTAATCAAGTTCAGTTCCTTCCATTTTTACTGTTTTTGGACTTGTCTGTTTCCTCCTCTCGTTTTCTTCTAGGCAACTATACAGTTGTTCTTTGAGAATAAGCGTTCAAAGTAGAAAGGCTATACATTTTGGGCAAAATCACGCCTTTCCACCCAGTGCACATTATGATTGGGGATTCCCCAACAGGAGGAGTCGTATTTTATCGCTGGGGGAGGCGTCTTTAGTCTCAGGATTTTTTTTGATAGTTGATTTTCTTTGTTTCTACGGAAGCTATAAGAGGGAGGCGTATTCGGTCGTTGTTGAGCTATAAAGAGAGAGGCGTATTCGGTCGTTGTTGAGAAAGAGAGGGTCTTATCAGCCTTAGGGCTTTCCGCGACGGGTTGCTGATTTTTCGTGCTTTTTCCTGCTTCATCTCTACTGTATACCCCCTCCACCCACTCGACAAAATTTTGGGAAATTCCCGAAAAAGTGGTAGAAGGGAAATTTCAGGAAAGTGTTGGGTAGGACGGGGGAGGGGGCGCAGCGTCGTATTTTCCTCGCAGTTTTCCCGCTTCGCATGTGCTACACCCACCCTCCCCCCCTCTCTCGACAACAGCTTGACCGTATCAGAGGGTGTCGTATCAAACCAGACTCGACCAAAATCCCAATGATGTGCCCTGTTTCCACCTCAAACGAGTGATCCTTTAGCGAAACACGACAAGACTTAGCCCAACTCACTAGTAAAGAATAAGTCATGAAATTAGGGATAAATAATTTTTTTCAAATTATGACATCAAATAACAGAAAATAATTCAGCGGCCTTCGAAGAATAAAAGGAGAGGGAATTTTTCATGGAGATGGGGGAAGGGAAGATAGGACTACTGGTATGCGCCCTTGCATCCATTCCTCTGAAAGGCTATAACGCAGACGTCAGAGCTGTCTAGAAATAGTCCTGCAGAGAAGACACAGTGTCCGGGCCTAAGAGCGCGATCGCGAAGTATGAACGCGCTCTAATTCTTGATTGGCTGAAAGAATATAGAGGAATTCACTGAGTGGTTCCCCACCCGACCCCCCCCCCCTTTCCAACTACGTTAGCACCTCATTAGAACGTCAGAAGGGAGTCCTCAAATTCTCGAGCGTTATTCGGCTGGTTCTTTTTGAATTTCACACTCATGTCAATTCACTGGCATGACACACAGATTTCCCTCTACATGTATTGCAGCACGATACTTTTCAAACAGCTCATACCTGTGGAAAGCGCGCATCATAAGGGGCAGCCCATAACAGGTCCTTCTTCATCTGCTCATTGAGGTCCTTGTTGAACCATTCAGGAGAATCTGGGTGGCGCAAAGCGGTCCCCTTCTCCTTCTGAAAACATAAGTGAAATGAAAAAACAGGTAAACGCAAACTATCAGCGATAAAAGTTTCGTGACCTCAGCGGGCATTCTGGAAATTTCATCTCGGTTTATATATTGTAACGAATCAAATCGCATTTTTTATAATAATTTCGGAAGAATTGCAGAATTAGAAAAGACAAATGTATCAATGACAATAATGAGAAAACTGAAACACTGGCAGCTGGGCGACGCGGTAGGGGGAGGGCATTTTGCACTTTGGCTGATTTTAGTTGTCGTGTTCGTTGCTTTATAAAAGATGATAGGTGTTCTTTACAAGAGTTAAGAAGTAGTTTCTATAAACCCTGACTGGTATCACTCCACAAGATTTCACAAGTCTCTACTAGGTGGTTCGACACCACAATGAGAAGCAGCGGAAGTGCAAAATGCACCTCCCGTCACCTAGCTGTGCCCACTTGCAGATAAGGTCAAAAGAATCCAAACGACTGGTCAAGATCGGAAAAAAAGGGACAAAATGATGGGAGACGGTAAAGAGGATCGTAATTCGCCGCACCGCCACGCGCGGCGATGGGCGCGGCGTTTTCATAACTCGTTTTAACCTGTCGAATGGAGCACCGGACTTCATGTAGACCCCGTCATCGTAGACACTCATTACTGTTTTCGGTCCTTAATTGCATGTTGTCGCCATCTACTACCTGGAACCATCGTCCTTTGCAGGCGAGACGTCGCACGCGACGCCCAGCAGCGCGGCGAATTACGATCCTCTTGTCACATACCCGTTAAAATGACTCTGGTGCCACTTCGCCAAGCTTGACGGGAGTTTACAGGGTACTTGACACGTATTTGCAGGATTTGCGGGTTGGGACACGATTGTGAAAAGACAAAAGAAAGAATAAAGAACAAAAACGAAAACACACTTCGAAAAAGCTAACAGATGTGGAGGTACCCCCCTTCCCCCTCCACCCTCTCCGAAGTTATAGCGTCGTTGAATGTATTAATTTCTTTTTCATTACGAGCTACTCATCTATGCATTTCATCAAAATAAGACTTGTCCTTCAATTGGGTGAAAGAATATTCAACATAAGACACAATGGGTCACAAACGGTCTCGGGTTGTTTACTGGTTTAGATCAAAGCAAAATATGAAAGAAAAAGACTAGTTACAGCTGTACTCTCCGAATACAACTGCCAGAATGCCAAGCCTGGTTTATGGAATATTCAGTGTCTTCCGAAGAACTTAGTAGATTCCTACAAAATCTAGAAAGGGATTTGAATTGCTAGTTCGTCACTTTCTTTGACATTGTGATTAAATGAAAACTTCGAAACCTAGCGTCAACA